TCTTTCTTTCTTTCTTTCTTTCTTTCTTTCTTTCTTTCTTTCTTTCTTTCTTTCTTTCTTTCTTTCTTTCTTTCTTTCTCTTTCTTCTTCTTCTTCTTCTTCTTCTTCTTCTTCTTCTTCTTCTTCTTCTTCTTCTTCTTCTTCTTCTCCTTCTCCTTCTCCTTCTCCTTCTCCTTCTCCTTCTCCTTCCTCCTCCTCCTCCTCCTTCACAAACAAATCCAAAAGGGATTCTTGGCTAAGAAATGGTACAGGGAAAGATATAGGCTGCTCCAGTCCCTGGCAAGTAGGAACGACTACTTGCCAGGGACTCGAGGAGAGGAGAAAGAAACCATAATGTGATCTGTACAGTTTTGACTTTGCCTGCTCTGTGAACCAGCCAGGTTATGAATTGAGTAAGCAATAGTGGTGATTATCTGTAACGGGTGTAGGATGAAGGGGGAAGTTTGTTCTCCGAGCTTGTACCAAACCAAACCAAATGTTGGTTTCCAAACATTTTGTTACCAAGCTAGGTAACATCTTCAGCAGAATTTAGGGGATTTAGTAAGAATAAATAATAATACATTGCCTAAATACCGCTGAAGATGCTACCTAGCCTGTTAACGAAATGTTCTAAAACCAACCCACAAAGTCAGAGGACAAACCTCTACCCTCATAACTGGGCTTGTTAGGGAAGTCCAGCCTATTGTGGTATATTCCAGAAATCGTGGTCAAGAAAACCAGGAGGTCATGTGACTTCTTCTGACCCAACCTGCCTATTGCCCTGTGCACAATCATGCTAAAGATGAGGATGTGCACTTCACAATTTAGCAACTTCATCTACCTCAAAACCCAGTTTCCATCTTCATCTACCTCAAAACCCAGTGCCTCAAAGAAGTATAAGGCATGAATTTGGTCCGGCAGGTTTATGAAACAGGAAGAGGTAGAGAAGAAACAGCAAAGCAGAAATCAGAAAGAGGAAGCTGCAAGAAATAGGTAAGTTTTGAGCTGGGGTTTCAACACTCACAAAGATACGGAGCAAACCCCACTGCTGGAGAGCTGCATCGGTCTATGGTAGCTGAAAAGGAGTCCAGTAGCAAAAGGGGATTTATTTTTATTTTTTAAAAGATTTTTATCCTGCCTTTGTTTTCGTTTTTTAATAACTTGAGGAAGCAACTGCACTAATGCCTTCTTTATCTTCCTTTCCCCACAACAACAACTTTGTGAGATAAATTGGGCAGAGAGAGAGAGAGAGAGAGAGAACACAAAAGTCACCCAACCAGTTTTTCATGCCTAAGGTGGGACTAGAAAGATTGATAAGAAGGTTGATAAAAATGCCCTGCCCGTTGTATAAAGTTGCTCCTCCTGACTTTGGACAGCTCCCAGGATTCTGCTGGGACTGAAACCTCCTGACCCTTCAACTGGCTGAGGAATTCTGGGAGTTGAAGTCCACAAGTCTTAAAGTTGCCAAGATTGGAGACCCCTGCTTTAGAGCCTGCTAAATATCCAGGGAGGGCAGAGGAGATGTGGCAGCTTTCCTAAAGCCCAGGAAGGACAGGCTTGGTGTCCGTGGGGAGAGGTTTCAAAGGATGGGGTAAGAAGCCCATTTCCTGGGTCTCCTCAGGTGGCATTTGCATGGAGATGACACTGAGAGGTTCATCCATTTGGCAGATGGAAGGGTGGAGAAAGAGGTCCACCTGATCACCAGGTCCAAACCCATCAAGGTGACAGCCAACATCTCAAATCACCTCTTGGACTTGAAGGGATTTTCCAGAATCCTTTCCTGGGTGTTGCCGCCAAGTTCTGGGTGAATAGCTGTTTGGTACCTACCACTTTATTCACCAGGGTCCTGAACCATCATTGATGACTGTTATATGATAAGGTGTGTTGTGAAAGTGTTAAATTAAAAGAGAAACAAGGGAGGGTCTTGTTTTGAGAAACTGTAGACAGTAAATGTCAAAAGCAAACAAACAAGCCCTTGCTGACTGGCCTATGAACTTTGGAACAAATCAATGAAAAAAAGGCTCACCAACCACTAAAATCATCAGCCATGGGGGCCTTACAAGTGCTAACCCACAAAGTATATCATAAAACGAAAGTAGTTTCTTCTATTAGAAAAAAAGTATCATTCATTGTTTTACATAAAATGGTACAACTCAACAAAGTTTTTACAGAACCTGAAAAACATACAAATTAATCTCAAGGCTTTTTACAGTTTATCTGGGGGGGGGGGAGTTTGCTGGCAAAAGATAAATTCACCAGCTCAAAAACACCACTGTAAACATGGCTTTGGACACGCACTCAAATCCTTTGGCATAATTTGGTGGATTGTGCAACCGCTCGGCCTTTGGGTTCCAGCCAAGCGAACGACGATCTTGTTCAGCTTCAGATTTGTGGTGTCGTCTTATCGTTCCAAGTGGTCTGAATGCGCTTATCAGCATCGAAACCTAACTTAAGCAATTAAGATATGGGAAAACCCCTTCCTAGACTTTCTACATCCATGCGCTTGTGACAAGCAAGTGACACAAAACCAGGAGAAAAAGGAGAATAATAATAATAATAATGGATGCAAGCATCGCCAGTCTTGTCCACCATTTTGTCTCCTCTTGAGAAATTCTGGGTTTATCCCGATGAGGGGCTAAGTTGGTACCACACCATTCATGTAAGGTGAAAGGCTTTGCCAGTTTTGACTGCAGATAACTGTATTGCTGTTGAACTGGCAGATGTGTATAAAAACACCAGTCCTTTAGAGCCAATGTCACTTCACAGAAGCTACCATGCGGCTTGATAATTCAATTTTTGATAACTTTGGGGACGAAGGGAAAGTTGCCAGGTGAAGAGTGAATTTCCACTTCTCCTGCCTGCATTTGCTGGATCCATCAAGGTGTGTTCAACGAATAAGCAAATGTGTGCAAAGAGTCCTTTTCCATCACCCCTTGAGATCAGCCTTGCCAATGCAGCATTGACCTTGCTTGGTTTACATTCAGAAGTCGTCTGATATGAAAACAGCAGCCTGATTTTCTCATTTCCTGTAGGCGCTGCCAGTAGGAGCAGAGGGTTTCCTTTGGCTAGCTCATCTTGTAGTCTGTTTCTAGAACAAGAGACAAACACAAGGCCAATGAAATAGGGCAGGCAGCAAGATTCCTCAATTGCCCTCAAGCGCATGATAGCCCAACACCCTTGAAGAAGTATAATTTCTGCTTAGGGGTAAACCTGGTTAGATTCCCTCAAAGGTTGTTCTTGAAAACATTGGATGAGATAGGCTAGATCAGGGGTGTCCAATCTTGGCAACTTTAAGCCTGGAGGACTTCAACTCCCAGAATTCCCCAGTCAACTTTGCCAATTCTGGGAGTTGAAGTCCACAAGTCTTAAAGTTGCCAAGGTTGGACACCCCTGGGCTAGATCATGAAACAGACTCCATAAGGACAGCTCTACTTATTATACTCTTTTAACTCAGCTGTTAAGGGATAATTATTAAACAGAGTTGTGAAAGCCCAACAGAGTTTCTTCTTCTATCCTCTTATACTTGAGGAAACAATGGCAGGTCAACCTTGAGTTTCTTTCTTGTCTTTCAGGGCTAAGCTGGTGTTGATGTCACCGCTCTTGCATTCCGTATTCAAGGTTATCTCTGTACTTCTGTACAATAACAGTTACAATCACACAAAGTACTAAGCTCGCCTCATCTTAATTCAGTTTTGCATCTCAACCCACATGCTTCATCTCCAGGCCGGTGTATTCTGTGAAATAGATTCATTCAGCAACTAGCTGTTCAACTTTTACGTGCAAATGTATTCTACAAAGAAACCCAGACCATCATCCCCACCGATGCACCTCACTGTATTCTTTTAGCCACCTACTGATTGTATCGGGTTTAATGAATTCGGATGGATATTCAAATGGCAGATATTCCTCTCTCTGATCTTCAAACATTCGTTTTAGAACTTTTTCAGGGTCAGGAATTATCGGGAAGATCAACAGCTGAATCCTGCAGAGTGGAGAGAACAAAGTAATTAGAATATTCCAGATCAGAAAGTTTGGGTTTTCCCCACTTCTTTTCCATGCACCGGGCAAAGTGATGTAGGTCTTTAATAAAATCCTTTTTTTTTCTGGCTTCATCACAAATGCCCAGCAACCAAGGGGATCCTTGGCAAAAGGAACGTCTCGCGGTCTCTGCAATTCGTTTCTTACCTCTTCAGATAAACGAGGAGAATGATAAGCAAGACTGCAACACTTAATGGAATCAGGACGACCAAAACGATGTGCGATGTTTCAGAGTTCTCCCGTTCATCTAAAAAAGGGCAAGGACAGGGAAACCGTTTCCAGGTGGAGTGAGAAGGAAGCAAGAACAGCCCACCGTTGCTAAATAATTTCCTTCAGAACAGTCAAGGAAGACTATGGAAATGTCACATGGAACCCCAGCTTAGACTTCCGGCCAAGGAAATAGAGAGGTCCTCAAAGGATGTGGTTGACGCTTCACAGCACTAGAAACCCTGGCAACCTCCTGTGTTTGGAACATGGGCGCTGAGTGGAACCCTCTCTGGAATGGAATCATTGAGAGGGGAGGGCAAGGGGCTCCGGGGGGGGGGGGGCTTGCCACGGCCACTCTCCCTGCTAGCAATCCAAATAATAAATTGGGTGTGCCCAATCAGCCGTGTGCACATGTGCACCCCTGATATGCAAAGGACAAACTACAGTGAAAGAAGACATGATTCTTATGCTGAAAGCATTTCCAATTAGAGGAATGGGGAAGTAGGTAACACCTGGAAAACCTATAATGATAGATTACAAGGAGGAGTAAACCAGATCAGAAAGCCCGACCAGAAGCTACAAGCTCAGAGGTGCGATGTCCAGATCTTCACTCTCGTCCAAACAACCACTCCAAGGTCAGATTCATTTGGGGAACCAGCTGCTTTCATTCTTGGTGACCTCAGCAAAGACAACCCAGATGAGAACCAAATAAAGGAAAGGACCCTTCGTGCTCATCCCCTCATGAGGATGGGACAAAGCTAGGAGGTGTGCTGTCTTCCAAGAGATATAATGGACCTTGGCTTCCAGAGCATTGGCTATGGGTTTGGAACTATCCAAGGTCCTGCAGTTCTAGCCTCTGCAGACCAGGTCTGAAAGATTCTCACTCGTGCCCTGTAACATAGATCTGGGAATGGCACCATTGGAAAGAACCCCATCAATCAAATCCAGACAGTAAAGTCATCCTTCGAGATGGCATCTCTCTCTGATCCAGTCCCTGCTAAGATGGCATCAAGTCCACAGAGGACGTCCTAACAGAATAGAGTGATATCCTTCCGATATCTGAAATAATCCTATTGTCAACCCTGAAGCTGGGCTGGCTGGAGCTTCAGTGCTGCCACACTGGAGCTGAGGGATAGGGAGGAGGGATTAGAGATAGTATTCAAAGGAAAATACTTTCTCTTGGGAACCAAGGACATTCTCACACCCGGCCGGAGGAAGGAGGAGTGATGTCACCTGACCAGCGGGCGCTGCCTTGATTGGGCCATGTGACTGTTTGGAATTGGAGGGGGGAACTTTTACTTATTAGGTGAAAACCATGGGAACCTTCAGAGTTGGTTTTCACCAGATACAGGCCAATATGACACTTCCAATAAAACTTATTATTTGGGGAAATACCTACCTTGGAGTTTTTGCTTGTGATAGATCTATTACTTGGAACCCTGACCCCTGTACATTCAAGCAAGACAACGAAGGCTGCTCAGGGCGACACAGGCAGGATGCCACAAAGTTCATTCTAAGACAAAATGCATCCAGCACAAGGTCCTGGTACATCACTTAAGTTAAGCAGAACCAACTTGGTGGCTTAGTTCCTTAGAAAAACATACTCACCCCAGTACGCTGGCTCGCTCCATTCACTCCAAAGACCTCGTACTTCCTTGCACCCACTTGCGACCTTGCCCAACACAGCCCTCACTCGGAGAATGTGATACTTCTTGGGCTCAAGGTTGAGGGGTACTGTGGTGTCGTCTTCCGAAGGCTTTAGAGGAAACACGGACAGCTTTTCAGCGTCTACTCAACCATCACTAGAACCGTCTTTCCCAAGCTCAGCAACTTTAAGATGGGTGGACCTCAACACCCAGAATTCCCCAGCCAGCCGTGGCTGCTGGGGAATTCTGGAAGTTGAAGTCCACTCATCTTAAAATTGCTGAGCTTGGGAAATGCTACCCTAGACGTTTGGATGGACCTGACAGAAAAAGGCCTTCAGATCTGCCTTCGAGGAAGAGTGAGCCCTAGCAGCGAATGGAGAGAGGGGCCATAATTTCTGTCTCCTTTGTGTGAAGTAGGACTCTTGTCAAAGAGCAGGAGCAGGAGCTGCTTGAAAGAGAGACGTTCATAATCTCTTGGGCCATCTTTCTCTTTCAAGGAGATCCTTTCCTTCATGAAGAGTTAGAGTTATGTCCCATTGGGTCCTGTTTTATACACCAAGAGCTGTATGAAGCAGGGACCCTTCCTTGGATAAGGGCAGGAGGTCTTCTCCACCATGAATCAAACCTGGCTCTCTCCATTTCTGTTGGGACTATTGACACCAAGAATTCCCCAAAGGAATTCTGGGAATTTCAGAGAGAGGATTAGAAAAATCAGCCATGGAAAACCTAGGGTCCCCGCTATCTTCAGAGAGAATATTCCACCAAGGGACACGTGTAAGAGTCTACTTTCAATCCTCCTGAATGGGATATCCCGAGATGAGGTTGGTGATCAGACTGTTGTGGTCACCATCATCTTATCATCTAATCTACATTTATATTGCTTCCCACAGAAACCACAACACCACCTACAATTTGTCTCCAGATCTTCTTAATTTCTGGCAGCATGAACTAATCTAAGGTGGCAGAAACTTTTTATCCATGACGAAAGCAATGGAGGTAAAGGTTATCCTTATATTATGGGGATTGGAGTCCTAGGACCTCAGGGGCGCTCAGGATTAAATTATCATGGTTTAATTGTAGCAGAGATGGTGCCTCAAAGCAGTTTGCCGACAACTCAAGATAATTATCTCTACATTCCATGCAAGAGATTTCAATCTGCTTTTAAAAAAGAAACAAACACAAAGGCAGCTTACCTCTTTCCTAACGCCATTTGTTTCAACCTGATAGCATATGCCATTCCAGGAGCTGGAAGCATTCCATGTTAGATAAAGATTATTGACCCGCTTAACTTTCAGATTTGTTGGTGGGTGAAGTTTTATTGGATAATCTAAAGGAAAACAGACAAGCAGCTGCTGGATTCTTGTTCTAAATGCCCTCTTTATTATTCCGACAAACATACCGAGATCAATCAACTGTCATTTCCATTTCATTCTCTTCTAATTTTCCTGCTGACCTGAAGTTTGGTGGGTCAGTTTCCATTCAATGATTAATTTCTCTCCTAAGGTAAGCATCCCACCTACAGATGCTAGGTTTTGTGTGGGCTCTCCTCAGAGCACACTCGTTATTGTGCCTCCAAACACAGGGTCACCTGTGCAAACGACAAGTGCCTGGAGCCCAAATTTTGCAAACCATGATAGGAATTAACTTCTCTCCCAGTCACATGTGCTTCCGGTTTTCAGTAAAACTTCACCCATAATGAAGCATTGATCAGCTTAATGATCACCACGAAAAAGAAAATAAAATCCTGTTGGTCAAAGGACTGATCTCTTTTAAGACAGTTACAGCTTACGACCATAATGGGCAAACTTCATTACGGTCGTATGTAAAACGTAATCACAGGGTAGGGCGACCTGCCCACCTTGCCAAAAATGGATTATAGGATTGCTATTCAAGATATACAATTGTTTATGGAACATATAAGGAATTATTATGATAATACGGGGAAGGGAATTTCATGTGGAACCTTGATAGAAAATATATATGCATATAGTTTATAGTAATAGATAAAAATAATTACGTTGTTATTAGAATATATAATTTGTCAAAAGAAATGAAGATGTAAAGTATGATTTGTGTAATTTAATGAGATTAGAGAGGGATCTTGCATTAAAAATTTAAGGGTGGGAAAATTAACAGTCAAAAGGGAAAAACATGGGATAATATAAATTAAGATGGAAACAAGAATGATTATTTGAAGAATCTAACTTGATAAAATTAGCAAGTATGGCGATGATCATGAATATGTACTAAAAATGATATTAAAATGTAATAATTGATATAAAGTAATATATGAGAATACTGAAAAAAGTTAATAGTAGGAATGTGTTAAGAAAGTCATGTTTGCTTTGAAATGTGAAAAGACCTGGATCCACACTGTTTGCATAAAGATGTATTTAAAGAAATAAAAATAATTTTTTTTTTTTGAAAAAAAGTAAAATGCCAAAGATGGGGGAAGAGATTTCCTCAAATCCTGGTGGGACACTTTAAAGGTTAAAGAAGGGAGGTAAGGACTGTTGGATGGTCCCAGTTCTGAGGGAAGGTTTCCTCGTGGCTAATCTTGATGGTTCTATCTCTAAAAGTTAGAATTAAATCCATCAAGATGGGGTAGAACAAGGGTCTCCAACCTTGGCCACTTTAAGCCTGGTGGACTTCAATTCCTAGAATTCCCCAGCCAGACCCCTGGGTTAAAGCAAAGTTGGCTGGGGAATTCTGGGAGTTGAAGTCCACCAGGCTTAAAGTGGCCAAGGTTGGGGACCCCTGGGCTAAAAAGAGACCTTCCTTCCAAACTGGGACCGTCCACCAGAAGACAATCCTTACCTCCCTTCATTTCCTTACAGAGGTTGGATCCACCGAGAGGGGAAACCTACCAGGTTTGTCTGTACCTTCCTTCGTGAGCACACACACCGGCTGGATGTCTTCAGAATCGCTTCGGATAGAAAGAACCAGTGTGCGTTGTCCAGAACAGTTGATGGGGAAAACGCATCGGAAGGTGTCTCCGTCAACGCTGCGATTTGTGCACCGCTGCCTTTCTTCCAGGTTGTCGTGCCTGAAGGTGAGAGGAAAACGCAGAAGTGAGCAAGAGGATCCGTCCTTGCCGATCAGAGAGGACAGATGGAAGCAAGCACGAAGGGCAAGGGGGAGGAACTGTGGAAGGAGATGCTCACTCCATGGTGTTTTCTCCAACGTTTGGATGTTCTGACCTAGGCTTCCCCAACAGCCCGAAGCCGGTTCCTCGTCCCCATAAACCCCATTTATTTAGTTTACAGTTAATTCCTCTCCAGCAAAGTCCCAGCCAGCACTTCTTCAAGAGATTCCCCCATTACAGACCTTTATCAGGCTTGGAGAGTTGCCAGGCCGATATCTTTCAGATGCACACTGTAGCAGACAATAATTAGCAAGAATGCAGAAACAGATCTTCACCCGAATGAGCTAATTGTCTCCTGCAAAACCCCACTCCCCTTTCACTCCTCTTTTATTCCCTATGGGTGGGGCCATTCACCGTCTACCTGTGGTTCTACTCCCAAGTCGACCCTTGTTCCTTAGCTGTTCCCTTCTTCTAGCAACTCTGTGCATGCACACACTGGGAACAGGCGCCCGCTGTTCTTCTGCCTTACTGATGTCTGACTCCAAAGGCAGCTGATAACTGTCGGAGGGCCCTGGCCCCATCTCTGCCTCCGACGCAGAGCCCTCATCAGAGGTTTTCCCCAGAAACCAGGACTGGCCCATGTTCCTCCCCAACCTCCTCACTGTCTGAATCTGCTGCCACCTCTGCTGACCACTGGTGGGCCACAACATTGGACCAACAAACATAGCCACACAGTGTTAGTTTGGGTGGTGCAGAGAGTCAGGGAGGTGACCTCAGCAGAAACCTATGGGGATTCTTGCCTAGATAAAGGGGGCTGGACCTTCTTTTTAAGACCAGAGCGATGAGATAATATTCAAAGCCTTCATAATTGAGCTATAGAAATATTTATCTGTTTCTTTAAAAACTGGGGAATTCTGGAAGTTGAAGTCCACCCATCATAAAGTTTCCAAGATTGAGAAATGCTGAACTACAAGGAGGAGGAATCATGGCAAGATTGTGTGATTACAGCCAACTGAGTAATTTATTAGCCTTGTAATAGTAGGCATTTGTCTTTTACAGCTACAACTTCAAACATGAATAATATTCCAATATCCCTATTTTTTCCATATGGTTCAGAAACAAGATAAACATCTGAGAAACATTATGAATTGCTAAAGGATTTGGAATGCTGATGTTCCATCAGAGGCAATTCTTCAGAAAAGCCATACTGACATCTCATCCTTTGGACAAGCCGTGGAGATTGGCTGTCTGTCTGAAGGCCTTTCAAGGAACATTTTGAAACATCATTTCCTTAAATAAACGATGTCATTAAATCATTTTGATTTATTCAATTTTTGATTTATTCAATTTTAAGGACTGGGGCCGGGCACAAAACACAGCAACAATTTAAACCAGAACTTGAGTTTGGAACTCGGCACCCGCGACCGATTTGAAGTGTTGTGATGGGAATCAATCTGGAGGGTGTTGCTGACAGGTCCCAGATGAAGAAAGAAAGGCTCCTCCAATTATCTGCCTTGATTTAATCTGCCTCTTAATGCCAAAAATTTCGGCTATTTCTGGGTCTTCTTGTAGAGCCCAGCATCCAAATGGATTTCAAGAGTGATAAACACTGGATTAAAAAAACCTTTTACGGTTCTGTCCTGGAACTTTGGAGTATGGAAAAAAAAATACAAATGCCTATTGAATACAGGGGATCGACTTACACCAGGTCACGAAGTTACAACGGCACTGGAAAAAATGGTGTCAGATTTGGAAGCCCTATTCCACGCTGCCACATAGCCTGAGAAAGTGGGAGGGGGGCGTGATTTCAATTGAGTAGTTCTAAATAGACAAAATAAAATCCTTTTCTTAGTTTGAGGTTACTAAGTGTGGCGCAGCAGAGAAAAAGGATCTTACACTGGGACGGATCGTGACTGGTCCATGTGATGGGATGATTGGAGAAAAGGGGATGGATTGTAGTTTGGGGCCCGAAAATTCGAGATTCCACAGATGTGGCAGGTGCTATTCTAATAAAGGTACTTTTGAGATTATGCTTGTCCCGGAGTCACTGATTGGAATGGAGGCTTGCTGGAACGCTGACAAATGGCTTGTGATTGTTTTGTCACACTTACGACCGTTCCAGCATCCCTACGGTCAAGTGATGAAAATTCAGACGCTTGGCAACTGACTCATATTTATGATGATTGCAGTGTCCGAGGGCAGGGGGGGGTGTTTTTCATGTGATCCTCGTTTTGTGACCGTCTGATAAGCGAAGTCAATGGGGAACAAGGGTGGGATGCTCCCGGTTCTGCCCGGTTCTATAGAGCTGGTAGTTCTGAAGAGCAGCAGACACCAAACCGGTTCTGTTTGCTGCTGTTTGGCCCACCTGCCTGCCCGGGCTCTTACCTGTCCTTTATTTCCTGCTTTTTCAACTTGAGCTGCTTTGCACGGCACAGCTGAGGTTGAAAAAGCAGGAAAAAAGAGGCTTTTCAAATGTTGTGCACCTGGACGCAGCACTTTTCAGCCTAAGGTTGTTTTACACACACGCACGCAGCATGCACAAAACATAACCACCAAACCAGTAGTAACACCGGTTGAATCCCACCCCTGATGGGGAAGCCAGGTTCCCTTAACAAGTGGGTTACTAACTGCTGAGATTCACTTAATCGCTCTGGCTAGGAAGGTCATACAGGGAGGCAAACTCCACTGAATAACTGCCTCGCCTAACAACAGGAATTTTGGGTTCCACTGTGGTCATAGGTTGAGGACTCCCTGTGGATTGAATGGGCTCCCTTTAGGGCCAGGACAAGGGCAGGGTTTTCGAATACAAACCAGAAGGAGAGGTGGTAGTTGGTGTCCCGAGGTGCTTGCCTTCCTCGCTTCCACGAACAGGCCATCCATTCCATGTTGTGACAAATGCAGCTGACGTTCGTAGCACCTGTCTCTGCCGTGCCTACAAAGGGCAAAGCCCGTCTATATTCCTCTGCTTATAAATCCCCCCCCCTGCCCAAAAGCAAGGTGTCAACTCATCAAACATTCCTAGGCCTGTTGTAGTAGTGGCCATAAAAAAGGCGGGGAGGAAATCTGGAAGAGCAGTTGAAAGCGAAAGTAAATTCCAACTCTTTCCCTTTAAAAGATTGTAACTAAACTAGCAGAGCTGTTGCTCGGGAACGTATTGAATTGGAGAACGGGATGGATGACACCCAGCCTGTGAAGGTGCTTCAGTTGGAGAATCTGATTTATGACACACCCAGCAGTGAGGGGGGAAACAGGGTCACAGGTGACTTTAAATTATGTGAGCCAGACTTGGCTTCATAGAGGGCAGTGCCAGTATGTCGCCTCTAATGAATCCTTTGAAGTTTTTTGAAGTTTGGCTCGAGAATCATGAATTAGGGCGATTGCCGGAATCCTGACACAAGGACCCCGAAAGCCTTACATTTGCCCCAGTGCTGAAATTCCCAGCTTAAGCCCAAAGTTAAATTCGCCTGCTCAAAAGGGCCTTTGCTATTTGTATTCCTTCATTCTAAGGCAGGGGGTCTCCAATCTTGGCCACTTTACGGCTTCCAAGACTTCACCTCCCAGGATTCCTCAGCCAGCCTCGTAAAGTGGCCAAGGTTGGAGTCCCCTGTTCTAAGGGGTTTGGCATTTAAAGCAGCAGGCGGGAAATCTTCAGGTTGCAAGGAAACCACAATTCCCAAACTCCCCCAACCCTCCCCCCCGCCATTGTGTTTTCTACTAGCAGAGACCGGATTCGTGCAAATCAAAACATTTGCACCAGCCTCCAAGTACGTGTGGGGGATCTTGCTTGTGCAAAAAAGCCGCGTGCAAAAGGACCCCTTAAAGCAAGCATGCCTTTCCTCCGGGTGGCCCTGCCCAGCTGCTTTAAGGAGGCACCCAGAGGCCCTCCGAGGCTCTCATCCTGCACCCTCCCCAATTCCCTTGCCTCTTCGGCTCTCAGCCCAGTTCCCGGGCTGGTCTTGAAGGGCCCCCAGCCTCGTTGCTGGTTCAGCTCCAGGGATGCGGCAGCTCATCTCTAGGGAAAAGGTCTGTTTACATCTGAGGAGGAACAATTCCTCGAGACATCAATCTTACAGGAACATTATGCCTAAACCCAGCGGCTGAAGACTTACCGTTTTGTTCCAGAGGGATTTTAAACAATTCTCCTTCCACGGTGTTGTTACAAGACGTCCGTAGCCCAAAAGACATATTTTTCCCCAGAGAGACCGCCATTTTCTTGGAGAGGGCTTCACTCCATTTCTAACGATGGGAAAGGGAAAAACATTTAAGGCATAACAGATTTGATCCCAGCCTGCCTCCTGGGAGGGGGGGGGGACCCCCTCAGGAGTTCCCTGCCCCATTGCGCCTCTCGTTGGCTTTCTTTCTCTCTCGGCTTCACCAGGATTTGCTAGATGGGAGGGGGGGTTGCCAACCCCCAACCCATTGGGAACCAGGCCACACAAGCAGCGGACAAATGGGCGAGCGTACAAAGCTCCGTTTGTGCAAGTGGCAGCTGCACGTGTGAAACCATCCCCTTCCCCACGGCCACCAGTCCATGGAGGCAGAAAGGTTGGGGACCCCCTGCACTGGGGGTTTGCCCCCAACTCCCAACTCCTTCCCATTTTTCAGCTTCTTGAGAGACCCTTTCCTGCTGATGCCCCCCCCCCTCACTCCCCAAAGTCTGTTTTAACTTCTAAGGTTAGAAAAGGCAGCATCTCCGCTCTCAACTCTTGACCAAGAGTGTCAAACTCACGTCGACATGGCAGCGTCATGGGACGTTTTCCCATTTCGCTAAACCAGGCGTGGGCAGCGCGCGATGCATCCGGCCCAGGGGTGGGATGCTACCGGTTCGGTCCAGTTCTACCGAACTGGTAGCGCCAAAGATCATCTGAGATCGAACCGGTTTGGTGGTCTGATCTTCTGTTCGGGCCGCCCACCTGCCTGGCCTCTACGCTGTGCTTTAGGCTCTCCCTTTTCAACCTCAGCTGCCGTGCGTTGCGCAGCTGGTTGCTGTGCGAGTGCTGTGGTTTCCGGAAGAAGAAGATTTCCAAGTATCGCGCATGCGCACACAGAGAACCGATTGTTACACTGGTTGGATCCCACCTGATCCGGCCCGTGGGCCAGGAGTTTGACAGCCCTGCTCTCGACGGAGTGTCAAGGACATGGGGGACTGCTCCACCAGAGCCACGGTGGCGCAGTGGTTAGAATGCAGTACTGCCGCTACTTCTGCTGACTGCCGGCTGACTGCAGTTTGGCAGTTCGATCCTGACTGGCTCAAGGTTGACTCAGCCTTCCATCCTTCCGAGGTGGGTAAAAGGAGGACCCAGATTGTTAGTGGGGGAAGAGGCTGACTCTGTAAACGGCTTAGAGGGGGCTGTGAAAGCACTGTGAAGCAGCATATAGCCATAGCCCTTAGACTTATATACCACTTCACATGCTTTCCGGCCCTCTCTAAGCGGTTTGCAGAGTCAGCCTCTTGCTCCCCCCCCCCACAATCTGGGTCCTCCTTTTACCCACCTCGGAAGGACGGGAGGCTGAGTCAATCTTGAGCCTGGTGGGATTTGAACTGCCAAATTGCAGGCAGCCGGTTGCAGCTGGAGTCAAATGGTCCCTATTTGAGACCTTCCCAGCTGGCTTCCGGCAAGCCAAGTCAATGGGAGAAGTTGGATTTGTTTAATGACTGTGTGATTCACTTAGCGACTGCAGTGATTTGCTTAACAACAATGGCAGAAAAAGTTGTCCAATCGAGCACAGCTCCCTTGCTTAGGAATGGAGATTCTGGTCCTGATTGCAGGCGTAACTTGAGGACTCCCTGTAAGCTGTTCCCCAGAGAGGAGCCATGCGGAAAGAGGCCCTGCCAGAGCGTCTCCCTGATTCCCCCCAGGAAACCCTTCCTTCCTCTGACCTCCCCAGGTGGACCCATTCCCTCCCGGGGGGCCCTGCTGAGCACCTGCAGCCTCGGCCCCACCGGCCCAAGGAGAGGGGAGGCTCACCTCTTCCACCCAGGCGTTGCCATTGAACAGACCGGTGTAATAGTCGCAGGAGTTCCTCGGGGAGGGCCGGACATCGTCCCACTGGACACTCAAGATGCAGTTGCTCTCGTCGAAGGCGTAGCTGATGTTGGCAGGGATGGACAGAGCTCCTAGGAGGGAAGGAAGGGAGGAGGAGAGGTAAGCCAAGGGGACTAACCACTCTTCCTTTTCCTCTTCCTTCCTTCCCCTTTCCCCGACCCTCCTTCTATCTATCTATCTATCTATCTATCTATCTATCTATCTATCTATCTATCTATCTATCTATCTATCT